CCCACCCCCACCCCTTTTTCTACCCCACTCTTTCCCTCTGTCTCTCTCTCCCTCTGCCTCTCTCTCTCTCCCTCTGCCTCTCTCTCTCTCCCTCTGCCTCTCTCTCTCTCCCTCTGCCTCTCTCTCTCTCCATCCTGTGGTGTCTGGGGTTCACACGTGTGTTCTTCCGATCTCCCCTCTTTCTCTCCCGCTCTCTCTCTCTGTCTCTCTCTCCCTCTGCCTCTCTCTCTCTCCCTCTGCCTCTCTCTCTCTCCCTCTGCCTCTCTCTCTCTCCCTCTGCCTCTCTCTCTCTCCCTCTGCCTCTCTCTCTCTCCCTCTGCCTCACGCATGGTGAAAGCCCACTTTTCAAATCATTCATTACATAATGACCCATAATAATATAGGTCTCAGGATATGGTAATAAACATACAGACTCAAGCTCTTGAAAAGTTATGAGACCAGACTGAATACCAGCCTCAAATGTGGGAACATTGAAGTGCTACTGGCTTGTGGCTACCTCCGATGTTGTCACACCTTAACATGACGTCTTTAGGAGGTAGCAAGATGCCGCATACTCTCCTCTATGGCCTATATTATCATAATCTATATTTGACAATGTGTAGTTCATATGATTGGCTTGGGTCTGACCTTAACACAAATAGTTTCGACGCCGATGCCTACCAGTGGCACAACTGAGTGAAGTTTCTCGATGATGGCAGAGGGTTTTTCCCATAAACCCATGGCTGTTATAGTGTCTTCAAATGTCCCCGAATAAGTGTGATCCCCCCCCCCCCAAATACCCTTTCCTTAGTTACACCACAGCGCGTTTCCGGTCCGCCCTTTAGCTATAACACATTTTTGTACAAAAAGATACATACACATGTTCCTACATCAATAAGATACATTAACATACATATGTGCTTACGTCAATAATTACAAATTGAATTCACAGTTGAAGAACATACAAAAATTAAGCTGATAGCCGAAGCTGGGATAACCATGACATAGTATTCAATAATGGAACACTTTACACGCCATGATCAAATGAAACATTCCAAATAAAAATTAAAAAAAAGACTTGTCATTGACGTATCAGTGACGTATCAGTGACGTGTCAGTGACGTATCAGTGACGTATCAGTGACGTATCTGTGACGTATCACGTATCAAAAACTTGTATACCCGTTTCTCAATAAGGTTTACAAACACAATTATGGAATCTTAGCAGCACGCCCACCCCAGCCACGCCCACCCCAGCTGGTCTCAACAGTAAACACGCCCCCTCCCCCCCCCCATCAAGTTTGCCACACATCAAGTCATACCCGTTTCTCAATAAGGTTTACAAACACAATTATGGAACCCTAGCAGCACGCCCACCCCAGCCACGCCCACCCCAGCTGGTCTCAACAGTAAACACGCCCCCTCCCCCCCCCCATCAAGTTTGCCACACATCAAGTCAAAGTCAAGACATTTTCGCCGTCAATCAAGTTTGCTACACACCAAGACAAAGACACGACATTTCAGGCGCCCATCAAGTTTGCCACACATCAAGACAAAGACACGACATTCCATCCAACATGACGCATTGATGCCGATAAATGCATGCGTTGCAACAGGGGTTCCCAAACTTTGTCGAATCTTGGCGTCCGCGTTGTATCCAACTTTCCCCCAGCCGACCGACGTAAGTGAACTTCTATCAACTACACTGCGAAAACGTTATGACTTTGAACGGGAACGGGTTCGGTAAGAATATAGCAACGATCTTAAGATGACAAAAATGTTATTGAACAAATTCAATTATTTGTAATTAGGGCGATGATCAAGGATTTTGGTCTTTGCACAATTTCTTAAATAGTAAAATCGGGCACAGCTATCCTTATGCCCTTACATCTTAATATATATTTATAGCCTTAAATCTTTATATATTTACCGTCTTATATCTTTATATATTTATAGCCTCATTATCCGTGTATGCGTATATATCATTATATCCTTATTAACCTAATATCTTTATATATCGATATAATAATTATCTTTGTATTCTTAAATTTTTATATCCTTATATCTTTATATCCATGTAACCTTATATCGTGATCGCCCTGTTTCCGTATATCTTTATATCCACGTATCCTTATTTCTTTATATCCATATGGTCCATATATCCTTATATCCTTCTCCACAATGAGTTTAGCACCTTATTTGTTTGGATGACGATGAACATTTAGAAACATTGCCCGCCCCCATTTTGAAGAAGTTTACGCACAATTTGATAACCGTTGGGCTCAGAGTACCTGTCTTTCTAGCAGACGTGAAGATAAGGTGGTAGAGACTACAGCACAAACTTGAGGATTTCAATCAAACTTCAGGGCTCCATTGGCGTTCAGTTGCTCTTCAAATACACCGTTTGAAACAGGATTCAGTGACTGATGAGCAAATGTTGTACACGTACTGCTACCGAGATCCTTCGACGACGCTAGGTGTCACTAGAAGACGCTAGGTCTCGTTAGCTGACCGTAGATGACTCTAGATGACGCTAGATCTCGGTAGATCGCGCTAAATTTCTGTAGACGACGCTAAATCTCGGTAGATGACGCTAGATCTCGGTAGATGACGCTAAATCTCGGTAGATGACGCTAGATCTCGGTAGATGACGCTAAATCTCGGTAGATGACGCTAGATCTCGGTAGATGACGCTAAATCTCGGTAGATGTCGCTAGATCTCGGTAGATGACGCTAAATCTCGGTAGATGACGCAAGATCTCGGTAGATGACGCTAAATCTCGGTAGATGACGCTAGATCTCGGTAGACGACGCTAAATCTCGGTAGATGACGCTAGATCTTGTTAGATGACGTTAGATATCTGTATATGACTCTAGATATCTGGAGATGAAGCAAGATCTCTGTAGATGACGCTAGATCTCTGTAGGGGACGTTAAAAATCTGTAGATGCGCTAGATCTCGGTAGATGACGCTAGATGGCGCTAGATCACACTAGATGACACAAGATGAGGCTAAACAGACATTCCGATCTCTTGAATCAGAAACAGCCATAGGTAACAATGACAGTTTAATGTGATGCATTCGAAACTAAATGTAAGTAATAATGATCTATTTGAAATAAAATATAAGTTGACTATTATCATTTCCCCGCCACTGGTGGGCAGTAAAGCCGGAAATGACGTAATCTATCTGATAATGAGACCTATCATCTACAGATCCATATACCCCCCGTTTGAGATCCACTGGACCAGACTCAAAATGTGCAGAAGCCGTACAGACAGAGTCAGACACATTTTCAATCTTCTCTCGGAAGTAAGACAGAAATGACGGTGATGTGAAATGCACTCTGACACTTCCCGACACACACATACGTGTTAGCTGAGACAGAGATGACATGAAGGTGTCAACAACGATGAACAAACACACTGAAACACGGCGACATTCATACGTGGCGACATTTCTACATGGGAACATTCCTACATGGCGATATTCCTACATGGCGATATTCCAACATGGGGTCATTCCTACATGGCGACATTCCTACATGGGGACATTCCTATATGGCGATATTCCTACATGGCGACATTCATAAATGGCGACATTCATACATGCGACATTTACACATGACGACATTCCTGCATGGCGACATTCCTACACGGCGACATTCCTACATGGCGACATTCCTACATGGCGACATTCCTTCATGGCAACATTGCTTCATGGCGACATTCACGCATGGCGACATTTATGCATGGAGACATTCCTACATGGCGACATCCATACGTTAGTACAGTGATGGTCCCATTGAAATATGCAGTAGCGATGTTAGAAATAAGGTCGTCCATATTGAAGAGAGATGCGACCCGCCCTTGAGTCACCTTCAGCCATACATGTTAGGTAAACAATCTCTTATATGAAATCACGTGGTTACAAGGGGGTTGATTATTACATTTTCTTTTATTGGTCTGTTTCTCTTCTGGAGATATTCTCTCCCTTTACTGACTGCACGTCAGCTCGTTCATTACGTTAATTTGACTGCGTGTCTCCAGATGTACACAATTACGTTAATTTGACTGCGTGTCTCCAGATGTACACAATTACGTTAATTTGACTGCGTGTCTCCAGATGTACACAATTACGTTAATTTGACTGCGTGTCTCCAGATGTACACCATTACGTTAATTTGACTGCGTGTCTCCAGATGTACACCATTACGTTAATTTGACTGCGTGTCTCCAGATGTACACCATTACGTTAATTTGACTGCGTGTCTCCAGATGTACACCATTACGTTAATTTGACTGCGTGTCTCCAGATGTACACCATTACGTTAATTTGACTGCGTGTCTCCAGATGTACACCATTACGTTAATTTGACTGCGTGTCTCCAGATGTACACCATTACGTTAATTTGACTGCGTGTCTCCAGATGTACACCATTACGTTAATTTGACTGCGTGTCTCCAGATGTACACCATTACGTTAATTTGACTGCGTGTCTCCAGATGTACACCATTACGTTAATTTGACTGCGTGTCTCCAGATGTACACCATTACGTTAATTTGACTGCGTGTCTCCAGATGTACACCATTACGTTAATTTGACTGCGTGTCTCCAGATGTACACCATTACGTTAATTTGACTGCGTGTCTCCAGATGTACACCATTACGTTAATTTGACTGCGTGTCTCCAGATGTACACCATTACGTTAATTTGACTGCGTGTCTCCAGATGTACACCATTACGTTAATTTGACTGCGTGTCTCCAGATGTACACCATTACGTTAATTTGACTGCGTGTCTCCAGATGTACACCATTACGTTAATTTGACTGCGTGTCTCCAGATGTACACCATTACGTTAATTTGACTGCGTGTCTCCAGATGTACACCATTACGTTAATTTGACTGCGTGTCTCCAGATGTACACCATTACGTTAATTTGACTGCGTGTCTCCAGATGTACACCATTACGTTAATTTGACTGCGTGTCTCCAGATGTACACCATTACGTTAATTTGACTGCGTGTCTCCAGATGTACACAATTACGTTAATTTGACTGCGTGTCTCCAGATGTACACCATTACGTTAATTTGACTGCGTGTCTCCAGATGTACACCATTACGTTAATTTGACTGCGTGTCTCCAGATGTACACCATTACGTCATGTATCAAGATCCAGTCTAAAGAAATTATAACAATATCCCTGTAGAAAAATTGGAAACATGTACCCAGTGTTCTCACGCTTTGAGGCGCCCTTGTCCAGTGTGCCCACGCTTTAAGACACCCCTGTTCAGTGTGTCCAGGCCTTCAGACGCCCCTGTTCAGTGTGTCCAGGCCGTGAGACGCCCCTGTTCAGTGTGTCCAGGCCTTCAGACGCCCCTGTTTAGTGTGTCCAGGCCTTCAGACGCCCCTGTTCAGTGTGTCCAGGCCGTGAGGCGCCCCTGTCCAGTAAGCCCACGCATAAAGACGCCACTGCAAAGTGCACCATATTGTCTGGATCATCCCATCCAACAGCTGGATACCCTCAGCACTCCTCTGTATATAAACACGCCCATTGGCTATTTCTCGGTACCTGACACACCATATACTGGACGAAATAAATGGGATCTTTTAAGACTGACATATCCGGGTTAGTGGATGTTTGTTTACCTCATCCATATCCACTCTTTGCTTGAGTGGATGATTTCTCATTTATCCCTATCCACTCCTGGTTTCTGCTGTATCCTCCACATTGCTCGCATCCATTTTTATGTGTATCCAGGTAGTTTCACCCAAAATGGCGCCTTCATCCATTTAACTCACTATCCACATGTGACTATTATATTTCCTAAAATATATATTGTATATCAATCAATGTTTACTACAAGTCAATCTATTCCGAAATATCCCTTATTTCTAAAATTAATATTTCACACCATCAATATATCATACAATCAATTTAATCACACAATCAATATATCATACAATTAATATATCGCACAATCTATCTGTTTTACATAAATCTATCCCACAATCCGTTTGTTCTACGATCAACGTATCCCACAGTCCGTTTTACAACCACCTGTCTTACAACCACCTGTCTTACAACCACCTGTCTTACAACCACCTGTCTTACAACCACCTGTCTTACAACCACCTGCCTTACAACAACCTGTCTTACAACCACCTGTCTTACAACCACCTGTCTTACAACCAACAGTCTTATAGCCCATTGTGATACAGCCGACTGTCATACAGATAACTTTCTTAGAAGCAACTGTCATACAGCCAACTATCTTACAGTCAACTATCATACAGTCAACTGTCATACAGCCAACTTTTATACAGTCACTGTCATACAGCCAACTGTGTACAGATTTAAAGATGGCACTATCAAGCTTATATTGATTCACTCTTCCTCTACTGCGGGCAGAGTTCTCTCTCTTGCAGTAACGTAAGAGTCATCTCCCACTGCTAGCTTGGACGCCACTCTTCCATCTCCTCCTCAAGTCACGTGATCTTGAGCTGGCTGACCAAAGTGGTTTAACGTACTGCCCATTGAGACGACCCAGAGTGCATTTGTGCGCCGGGACAAAACGGCAAAGCGCTGGGTGAGGTTGTAGAGCGCTCTTCAGATAAGGGCTTACCGGATGACGCATTAGGAGGAGCGCGGAGCCACTCAACAAGACTGTAGATGACCGTTGTTGACCTTTCACAAACGCGACCTGGTGTGACGGGGCGAGAATTTCATCCATCTGAAATGTTGACAGACCTGAAACGGTCCAACACCACGAATGCCTTATTTCTGAGCCAGTTCACATCACAAGGCATGAGCGTTTGGTCATCTGAAATGCCCTGAACTTTTCAGACTTGTCATGTAGTGACAATGACATGTAGTGACAGGGGCATCTGGTGACGTGGTCATTAGTGACAGGGACATGCAGTGAGAGGGGGGCATGTCATGACAGGGTAAGACGGGTCACAAACAGAATGTGTCTCACACACACCAAGACTTCCCATACGTCTGTCACACAAACTTTCGATTAGACTGATCCTCCGATCTGTCTCAAAGAACACATTTAAACCTATCACGTCTATTGAACCAAACAGGTGCATGCTGGGAGGTACACTCTCTTGTGTCTCGATAAGCCGACCATTTTGTCAAAATCACGTGGTCTTAGAGCAGTGGTTCTCAACCTTCCTAATGCCGTAACCCTTTAACACTATTCCTTATGTTGTGGTGACCCCCATCCACATACTTATTTTCGTTGCTACTTGGTTTCCGATGGTCTTAGGCGACACCTGTATAAGGGTCGTTCGACCCTCAAAGAGGTGAAGACCCACCGGTTGAGAACCGCTACCTTAGAGGAACCCAGTTCCAAAAATTTAGCCAGAACTTTATTGCCAAAATGACGAGTCCAATTTTAATTCGGAAAAAAAAATAAAAAAATCAGCGAACCCTTCTCCTCACTGATTTAAAATTAGTTTATGTTTGAGAAGTCTACAGAGACAGCGTACACACCACGTGACCTTACGGAGAACAATTCAGCTTTCTTATTGGTTGATTGGTTAATTTCATCGAACGACTGCTTTACACTGCAGACGTGAGCACCGTTCATTTGAAATCACACTTCATATTTCATGGTTTTAAAATTATTTAAAATAGGAGAGGCCTAACAGTAAAACTATGACACGCATACTAAAACAATGATACATATATTATTACATAAGTCAGTGATACATCAGGCTTCTCATTAGTTTGATGGACAACATAACATTTTAAATATTAAAGAAATGAGGTAAGAATTCGAATGTTTTGACAAAATGTTCATTTGAATGTGTGATTGGCTGTTATTGACTGGGATTGGCTGTGTGAGGATAAATTTGGCTGAGATTGACTGTGATTGACTGTAAATTGCTGTGATTAGCTATAAATTGCCGTGATTGGCTGTGATTGACTGTGGTTGGCTGTGGTTGGCTGTGGTTGGCTGTGAATCTCTGTGATTGGCTGTGAATCTCTGTGATTGGCTGTAAATTGCTGTGATTGGCTGTGGTTGGCTGTGGTTGGCTGTGAATTGCTGTGATTGGCTGTGATTGACTGTGGTTGGCTGTGATTTGCTGTGGTTGGCTGTGATTGGCTGTGATTGGCTGTGATTGGCTGTGATTGGCTGTGATTGGCTGTGATTGGCTGTGATTGACTGTGGTTGGCTGTGAATCACTGTGATTGGCTGTCCTTGACATGACCTGAATAGTTCTGATCGTTAACCGGCGCAGTGTCGTGACGCCATCCACGCCAGAGACGCCAGTCTTAGATGTCCTGAAAACACCAGCAACACCTAGCAGAGGCGTCAACCCGAGTGGTGCAAACACCCCCACCCCCCACCCAAACACCCCCATCCCCCACCTCTCTCCTGGACCTTTCTCGATTCTGCATGGCATTTAATTCAAGAGTTCACTAAGCATATTAGTAACACAAAAATTTACAAATACATTTTTTAAATTAAAACATTGTTGACTATTCAATAATAATCTTGATAACAAACGATCCCTGCATCATGAAAAGTTCAAACATTCTTTTTCTTCCCTTCACCGAATCAAATTATCAAATATGGAAAGCGTTCCAAAAAATGAATTTTATTCAATATTTAATATTCCTACTTCTTAAAAATAAATATCTGAATCATTTTAAAAAAAATTATTTTTAAACAAAATTCAAATTATCAAATCTGGAAATAGTTTACAAAATCAATTTGATTCATTGTTTCAACATGTCTTCTTCTCCAAGTCCAACATCCGGTTGGTGGTGCGATGGATGTGGGGTCAAAATTGTTTCGTATCAAACCTTTTGGTTTAGAGAGTTCAAAAGGAGCCATGTTTTTTGTTTTTGTTTTTTTTAATGATCATCTGTTCTTCTTTTCTCTTACCAACTTATTAACTGTGTCACCTGGAGAAATTCAAAACCTGGCAGAGGGTCGGGGGGGGGGTATTTTATTCTCCTAACTCTGATTGGAAGCTAATGCTTCATTTCCAACCCCCTTCCCCCTTGTGTAGACGCCTCTGACAACATGTAAATAAAAAAAATAAAGCTCATACAGTTTGGGATGAAGAAATAGACACCAAAAAAAACTTTGGAGAAAAAAAAGGGGGGGGGGATTATGAGCCATCCACTAATCAACGTTTGTCTTCAGCTGGACATCAGAAGATGAGATGACCAGTACGGTGACGCCGACGGTCACTGTGCCGATGTTCGATGGTCACCTGGCCATTAACTGTGACGATACCGGAGCTTTGGTCATCGTGACGTCATGTGGTATTGCTAACGACACGCCGCACTAGAAGTCTCCCCCAGCGATGCGCCACTTTAACAGGAAAGCGGCACTGCCTAATATGTAGAGTCTTGTTGATCCTCTGGTGCCGCCAGGATGTCGCCTTCATGTACACAAATGAAACATTTTGTTCACAAAAAGTCACCTTACGAATTGTTGACGTTTGGGAAACAACAAAAAAAATATTTTTTTTTGCCTTTGACAGTTCAAGTGTTGATATTTTGTTCAACGACAAATAAATGTTCACATGTTGAAAGCGTTCATGTTGATCAAAAACAAAAAAAAAAAAAAATCCAAAAAAAACCACAGACGAAAAAAAATATTTTTTTTTGCCTTTGAAAGTTCAAGTGTTGATATTTTGTTCAACGACAAATAAATGTTCACATGTTGAAAGCGTTCATGTTGATCAAAAACAAAAAAAAAAAAAAATCCAAAAAAAACCACAGACGACCATGTCTCTACGACGGGTATCGGCTCACGTTGGTAGTCGATAATTGTGTAGTAATCGTGGCAGTATCAGGGCGGTGACGAACACCACACAAAGATGGCGGGCAGGCAGACGGCTCGCTGCGGCGTGGTTCCTGTCCGTCTCGAGCCTCTCCTGTTTGGAGCCCGGATGTGTGTTCCCATCTGTCACTGAGTCTTTGCCTGTTCCTAGGAAGAAATTGAAAGAGAGATGACAGTTACGGTGTCTATCTGATCTGAGAGATGGCCTGGGTAACAAGTTTACATTGTTTCGACTTCAGCTTTAAACTAAAGCAATCAGAAAATCGAGCTCATCTAAGACCACTGGGAAAAAATACGAATACATTATATAATAGAAAATACGTTTACAATAGGGAATCGGGGAAAATTAAACCCGGTCTACATCGGGTTCCAAGCCTACGTCCTTCCACCCCCCTCCCCCCACTCAGTTACACTACTAGTCTCAAAAAGTTTGTCATTAACAAAGTTTTGAGTCGGACAATATGAACGTTTAATGAAAGTGTAATATATCGGATGTCAGTGTAATATGCCGGATGTAAGTGTTAAATGCCGGATGTTAGGGTTATATGTCGAATGTAAGGCAGTGGTTCTCTAATACTGGTCCGCGGACCGGCGTCGGTCCACGAGCCTTACTTGCCGGTCTGCACAACATAAATATTTATGGTTGAATTAAAAAGGAAATGGTATCAATACATCTGCCAACAGTCCCTGATGCAATTTCAAAACATGTCCACCGGTACGACAAACTTAAAAGTTTAAGAAACGTCGGTGTAAGGTATTCAATAGACATTTGGGAAATGGTAAATTTTGTTTATAAACTGGATCAGTGCTCCAAATACCCACCCTTTGAATCCGACCCCGTTAAGTGACAATTGTCAGAACCAGATGTGTTCCTGTCACCTTCTATTATCCAAGTATTGTTTTCTTTGAAGACAAACATTCCCGTCAAGAGGCAGGCTAATTCTAGAGACTCGATTCAAGCAGAGTCTCTCTCTAGAGATAAACTGTGCCTGGGAAGGGGCCATGTCAAGATTTTAACCAGAAAATTGGAGCGCATTTCCCTTTGCCGACAAAAAAAATTTCTGGGATGGTATCTCCATTACTTCCACTCTATTACTTCCATTCCTTCAATTCCATTACTTCCATTCCATTACTTCCATTGAAACTCAAGAAGAGATCTTTCTTTCAAGGGGATACTCTTTTTATGTCTGTTATTTTCGTGACAATAGTACATGTCTACTAGTAGGTATAGCTCTAGGACATGTGATCTAGCTCTAGGAAATGTCTGCTAGTAGGTCAAGCTATAAGACATGTCTACTAATCGGTCTAGCTATAAGACATGTCTACTAGTCGGTCTAGCTATAAGACATGTCTACTAGTCGGTCTAGCTATTAGACATGTCTACTAGTCGGTCTAGGTATAAGACATGTCTGCTAGTCGGTCTAGCCATAAGACATATCTACTAGTCGTTCTAGCTATAAGACATAGTCCTAACACACTATTAAACAATTAGCCTCCATCAATAACTAATTGGAAAAACAAGTTTAGAAGGAATAATTCTTAGCTGAAAAAAAAAGAAAAAGAATGAAAATAATGAAATCTGTTCAGAGGCGGAGACAAGCGGTAGACGTGGCCATCCAAGCTTTGTACTTCAGGGCGTGTCATTGTGACCTGTCAAGCTTGGCGAGGAGAAAGACATGAAAAACCCAGTCAAATATTTGTTCGATTATTTGCATCAGCTCAATTTGAACGTCTGTCTTTAAAATGTCGCTGTATCTGTCTTTGAAATGTCGCTGAATCTGTCTTTGAAATGTCGCTGTATCTGTCTTTGAAATGTTGCTGTACCTGTCTTTGAAATGTCGCTGTACCTGTCTTTGAAATGTCGCTGTACTTGTCTTTGAAATGTCGCTGTATCTGTCTTTGAAATGTCGCTGTATCTGTCTTTGAAATGTCGCTGTATCTGCATTTGAAATGTCGCTGTATCTGTCTTTGAAATGTCGCTGGATCTGTCTTTGAAATGTCGCTGTATCTGTCTTTGAAATGTCGCTGGATCTGTCTTTGAAATGTCGCTGGATCTGTCTTTGAAATGTCAATGCATCCTTCTCCCTTGCCAGGACAGACCGACCGACATACAACTGGCAAGGATGACGTGTCAACGGCACACTGCAACCAATCAACATGTGATGTATTTTTTAAAAGAATGCCGTTGGAAAGGTCTTTGATGACTATACGTATATTCTGCGGGAAACTTTTAAAAATAGTAACACAAGAATATATATATATATATATATCAGTGTTAACAACATGACGTCACATGAAGATGGACTGCGATAATTTTTGTCTTATTTCATCCGCCCTAAGTGAATAGAGCTCTGAATTGTCTTAAGTTTTACAGTGGATGACTGAGAGAGAAAAGTTTAGTCATATTGAGAATGACTTAAATAGAAAATTTCAGTCATATTGTGAATTACGTTAAGAGCAAAGTTAAGTCATACATGTGTGCGGTCAAGGGAGAAGTCGATTCATTTATAAATGACGTTTAGAACTGGACGGTTGATTGTTTCTGACATAAAGAACTGGACGGTTGATTGTTTCTGACTTAAAGAACTGGACGGTTGATTGTTTCTGACATAAAAAACTGGACGGTTGATTGTTTTTGACATAAAAAACTGGACGGTTGATTGTTTTTGACTTAAATTACTGGACGGTTGATTGTTTCTGACTTAAAGAACTGGACGGTTGATTGTTTCTGATTTAAGGAAATGGACGGTAGATTGTTTTGACATAAAGAACTGGACGGTTGATTGTTTTTGACTTAACTTACTGGACGGTTGATTGTTTCTGACTTAAAGAACTGGACGGTTGATTGTTTCTGATATAATGAAATGGACGGTTGATTGTTTCTGACTAAAAGAACTTGACGGTTGATTGTTTCTTACATAATGAAATTGACGGTTGATTGTTTTTGACATAAAGAACTGGAGGGTTGATTGTTTCTGACTTAAAGAACTAGACGGTTGATTGTTTCTGACATTAAGAACTGGACGGTTGATTGTTTCTGACATAAAGAACTGGACGGTTAATTTTTCTGACTTAAAGAACTGGACGGTTGATTGTTATTGACTTAAAGAACTGGAAGGTTGATTGTTTCTGACTTAAAGAACTGGACGGTTGATTGTTTCTGATGTAATTATATGGACGGTTGATTGTTTCTGATATAAAGAACTGGACGGTTGATTTGTTTTTGACATAAATAACTGGACGGTTGATTGTTTCTGACTTAAAGAACTGGACGGTTGATTGTTTCTGATGTAATTATATGGACGGTTGATTGTTTCTGACATAAAGAACTGGACGGTTGATTGTTTCTGACATAAAGAACTTGTTTCTGACATAAAGAACTGGACGGTTGATTGTTTCTGATGTAATTATATGGACGGTTGATTGTTTCTGACATAAAGAACTGGACGGTTGATTGTTTCTGACATAAAGAACTTGTTTCTGACATAAAGAACTGGACGGTTGATTGTTTCTGACATAAAGAACTTGTTTCTGA